CTGCAGACCTGTCTATGATCTGCAGACCTGTCTATGATCTGCAGACCTGTCTATGATCTGCAGACCTGTCTATGATCTGCAGACCTGTCTATGACCTGCCGACAGAATGAAACGTTTAGTCTCTCCTGCAACAGACTTCTTCAGGAGAGACAAAACTATTCATTAAAGAAGAACCCGTCCACGACCTACCAAATGCTTTCTTTGATCACCAGGAGGGTTTTAACTTACTGCACAGAACTCTTCAAACGATATCCTGCCGTCTCCGTCCTTGTCTGCATTTATAATGGTCTTGTCCACGATCTGCTGGAGCTGCGTGTCCTTCAAGTTGTTGCCTACCATCATCTTCAGTACTTGGAAGAGTTCGCCATTGGAGATGTAGCCGTCCTTGTCCATGTCGTAGATCCTGAAAGCGACTGTGGGTCAAAACGAAACAGAACAGAAGAAAACCTGAGTTTAGACAAGTTCAACAGAAACATCACATCACATCTGACGGTCTTCAATAGGAATGTTTTTTAGTTCTATATAATCTAGAGCAAAGAAACACATAATCTAATATAATCTAGCTAAAAAAATACATTTGACATTTTATTTTGCCATGAAAATAAAGACAGAGGATGTGAACACAAAAGAAAGCTTTGTCTGATTTTAAGCACAAGATGCTTAAAGATATTTTCAACTCATTACATTAATATTAATGTACTTTATAGTTGTGGAGGTGGTGTTTAAAACTATATTTCAGTATAAATCCCTGAGTATTTTGTCTTGTATTCCTGAATTATACAGGGTCAATGTTGAAATATGTGCAGGAGGAGCTGAAGGTCAGGAGGAAGATTCAGATGATCAACATCCAGCAGCAGTTCAAACAGCCACCAACCTGTGGACTGGGCAGCAGGACCCACCCAACCATCATCTAACAGTTCAGCTACAGACAAGTCAGACACACAACCACCACTTTCTTTCTTTTGTTGTGTGTCACTGAACACATCTTTTTATATAATGATGGTGGTATTTATTTATTTTTACATTTTATTTTGTTTGGTGCCTTTATTAATGCAAAAATAGCTGTAGTATTTTATCAACGTTTTAATTTCTCCTCTTACAATTCACTTGTGTTCATATTCTGATATTTGCAAATCTGTTTTCAAAACAAAAATGAGAAGTATTTATTAATATTTTTTGGGAAATAAAGAGAAAAGGCGCTGGCAAATACTGAATTATTTTTCATTTCTGGGAGGGGGAGGGCACCACAAAACAGTTGTGCTTAGGGCAACCAAATGACCAGCATCGGGCCTGCATGCGCAAACAGCTGGCACACAGGCGACTACAGCAACTAACAACAACTACAATTAAGTCCAAAGGAACGTTAGTTTATTCACTAGGGCCCTGTTTACACAAAACCAGTCTCTGGAAACGCTAATGTTTACTGGGGCAAATGCACACACAAAAAATCACCCATTTACATGGAATCACTGTGGCACTAATCATGCAGCAGCTGCAGGATCACAGTTATGTCAGAACCTGGTGAATAAACTAACATTCCTTTGGACCGATGATGCTTTTTGTGTTTTGCTTCTACAAGCTGCAAAGGGTGACAGAAAAAAAAAACACTCTGCTGTCTGTAATTTATTGCAACTGTTGCTAGCTTAGAAGAAACTTTTGCTGTAGTCACCTGTGTGCCGGCTGTTTGCGCATGTGCGCTTTCACAGCTGTGGAGAGCTTCTCACCTCCGTGGGGGGTGTTATGGAAAAGTTCCACTCTGAGACTTGGTTTCAAAAAGTGTTAAAATCAGATTTTCACGTCTTTGTTTCCATCACCACAGTTAAAAAAAGAAAGAAAAAGCTTTTCCACCACGGACTATTTCACCCAAGGCAACACTGATCATTGCATGATAAAAAATAAAAGAAACACAATATCCAGCCATCTTTATGGCTGTTTAGGTAACTGTATGAGCTTTGGTAGGGCAGAAGGAGGATCTATGATAATTTAAAGCCCACCGCGTTTCAGCTCGTTTATACTTGATCAGGAAAAAATATGTCCAAAATTACGCAATCTCCAAACCGCTGTCTCACGTCTTACTGTAGTGTAATCCAAGCTTTAGGTATAAATAGAGTTTAAGTCAGGTTAGGTTTAGGGTCACGTATGTACCTGTGAGGTTAGGTTTAAGGTAAGGGGTCAGGGTTAGGCTGAAATGACCAGTGAATAAATGGAAGTAAATGCAAAGTCCCCATGAGGATAGAAGAACAAAACACTGAGAACAGAGCAAGGATAGAAGTTGTGTAAAAGCCAAAAATGATGAAGCAGCAGCTTTACTTACATCGCAGCTTCTGTTCTTTGTCCCCTTTGACACTAAACTGTGAGACTCCCTCGATGAACTCTGGAAGAAGAGAAAACAAACTCTGCATAAAAAACAACAGTAGATTAAATTATTAAAAAATGATAAATTTACAGTTAACTAGATCTTGTTAGGTTTTCATTTGGGATGCTTTTTCTTTAAAGGGATCCCCGATTAGTTGAAACATTAGACTTTATTTGATAAACATTTATTTTAACTGTAAAATAAAGACTGTAAAAATACTGTAGGATGTTTAGTTTTGTTGATTTTTTAAAATATATTTTAACACAGACAGAGCCATTTTATTTACACACAAAGCATTCTGGGTAAACGATGACGTGGATAGGTCCTCAGTGTGAGCGAGCTATATCCACCCTGAAGGTTAATCTTGGACAATATCTGATGATCGACTCTTTTAAATGAAACCAGAGAGCGTTGACAGAGAGGAGAAGGTAGAAATGACTCAGCCTGGAACTGAAAATATGGATGGAGGACAACAGAGCTGCTTCATGGAAGAAGAACCTCAGCTTAGCCTATTGGTCTTTGCGCTAGCGCTGACACTATATTTCCTTATATGCAGAGTTGCACATAAGCGGTGCGCATGTACGGTCAAATAAAGAAAAAGCACACCAGATGGAATGTCACAAAGCTAATTTGCATACCTGAGATTGTATGTCAAAACAACAGTTAGCAGGGCTCTAGAGTGCGACCAGTTTGGTCGCAAATGCGACCTGATTTCTTTAAAAAAAATTTAAAATCCAGCTGCACTGGTATGATTGGATCGTGTTCGGTGCTCACCAAGCCTCTTAGGACAGCGGGACCCTGTTATAAAGATTAAACTGAGACACTGCCTTCAACAAATCAGACAAAGTCCAGAGCCGTTTTATCCAATCACAGCAGAGCAGGGCGGGACTTTCAGTGAGAGCAGGTTTGGTTGAGATCCCGGGCACCCATGGAGATTTCCGAGGCTGCAGCCGGCTGCAGCGGTCAGTCCTGACATCTCCTCCTGCACTTTGCTCCTGAACTACCAGAGACTTTGGTCTGTAAAACCTAACTTTACATTAAATATATGTTCAGAATGTTGTTATCGAACAGGTCTGTCCAACTCTATGTGAGTGACAAAATCTCCTCCTGATGAAAGACTGCTGTGACGGGAGCGCGTTGCTGCACGCGCAGGCTGAGTCTTTCTGTGAGATTCACTGTTTGAGTTCTTCTAATTAAACCACATTAACTCTAACAGAACATTTGTTTGCCCTATATTAAAGCAAAGATGATTCTCTTTTTAACACCACCCCTGTAAACCCCTGTCAAAATAAATAAATACATAAATACAGTATATTAAAAACATACAAACAACTTGCCATGTTCTCTAGGTGAATGATTTTAAATGTTATTTTAATTTATCAAAGATCCACAAATTTCATTAACAGTTGTATCAAAAAACAAGGTTCTTGATTTGCTAAACTTGTTTATATTTAGGAACATACTGTGACACAGCTTTTCTGGGATAAATGTAATTTATTAAATGATCAAATATGAAGAATAAATGATTACACAAGCTGAAACCATCTAATATAATATTTTTTAATAAAACAGTCTTAAAGAAATCAGTCAAACAAATAAAACATTTGTATGTTTTAAGTTATTTTGCTCTTTGCAAAAGACAGATATTTGCTGCTTGGACTGGAGAGTGTGGAAAGCTGGTTTATCCAAGGCCAAAGATCCAGAAGACCAAACAGGAGCTGTCCATCTAAGGGACATGTTAGTCTAAAAGACATTTAACCATGAAATGTTCAGTTTGTGATGTTTATTTGACATACACACAGCCCCTCGGCCACTTAGGTAGTTTACAAAATTTATGCAGAGTAAAAAAAATTAAATAAAAAACTTGTTGGACGATTTGGCATGATGTCCTGAGACGTTGCAGCTGATAGGAGTCATAAAACAGAACAGGGGGACGTTAGATGCCCTGACGCCCCTCTAGATAAATGTGTTCAATGAGTGAAGGAAAATATGAGCACCAAGCAACAACCCTAGGTTCTCCCCTGAGAACCAGACCCAAAATTTTATGTGCAACCCTGCTTATATGTATTAGCTCAGCGCTAGCGCGACAAACTAACAAGCAAAACTGAGGTCCTCCATCCATATTTTCAGTTGCAGGCTGAGTTGTTTTTGCGTTTCTCTCCGTCATGTGGATGGAGGACCTCAGTGACGAGAGGATAATGTGTAGCGCTGAGCTATACACATACTCTCAAAAAGTTAGGGATATTCGGCTTTTGGGTGAAATTTCAGGACGAGCATAAAATGCATTTAAACCTTTACAGGTGAACTTAATGTGACCTTCTCTAAGGTTTTTATTGCATATATCCAACTGTCGAATGTTTCATTTCTTTTTGCACAAGTTGCTGTTTTCTAATGAGGAGCTTAACGGCAAAATTCACAACAGGTGTTTGATCCTTGAATCGACCAATAAATGTCCTTGTTTAATTAGAGCTGGTGTTTAAACAGTCGTCCCCATCATGCTGTTCACATTTTGACATCATGAGACCAAGACAACACCTAATAATGGATCAACAGTACCTTGCCATTGGGATGCTTCAAACAGGACGTTCTCAGATGGACGTGGCCACTGAGCTTAGAGTGTCACAGAGTGTCATCAGCAGGTTGCAACACAGATAACGAGAGACTGGAAGAGTCACAGAAAGGTGTAGAAGTGGACGTCCTTTGGCCACATCCCATGATGATGACCGCTACATTGTGAACAATGCCCTGAGAAACCGGATGATGAATGCCACTCAACTCCAGGCATGGTTAAGGGAGGTGAGAGGCACCCAAGTGTCACGTCAGACCATTCGAAACCGTTTACATCAGCGTGGTCTGCGTGCTAGACGACTTGCAAGGGTACCTGACCACACCACCAGGCACAGGCGTCATCGTCTTGCATGGACCAGGGAGCATTTACGCTGACCGAGGGACCAGTGGGCCTCAGGGCTATTCTCTGATGATGAAAGTCGATTCACGTTGAGCAGAAATGATGGCCACTAGCGATGTTGGAGACGTCAAGGAGAGTGCTATGCATCAGCCACTGTTGTCCCCAGACAAGCTTTTTTGTGGTGGCGATGTTACAGTGTGGGAAGGCGTCTCCAGTCGGTACAGAACTGCCCTATACTTTGTGAATGGTACAGTGACAAGCCCATACTACCTGAATAACATCATTAATCCAGTGATTGTGCCCCTACATAAACAACACAGGCCTGATTTCATCTTCCTGGATGACAATGCTCCAGCTCATCGAGGTTGCATCACCAGGGAACGGCTGTTGGAGACTGGTGTACCTCAAATGGAATGGCCTGCATTTGCTCCAGACCTGAATCCCATTGAAAACCTGTGGGATCAGCTTAGTCACCTTGAAGAGGCTCAAAACTCTGCACTGCAGAACCTCAATTACTTGAGGGCTGCCCTTCAAGAAGTGTGGGATGCCATGCCCCAGCAGACAATAAGTCGACTTGTGAACAGCACGAGACGTCATTGTCAAGCTGTGATAGATGCTCAAGGGCACATGACGAGTTATTGAGATGTTGAAATTTTTTATTGTGGTGTACCCAACATTGTTGTTAACTTTTGTTTCAATAAATTGTTTGAGATGAGGAAATCACCAGTGCATTCTTTTACGTAAATGTCCTACTTTCCTGATATGATAACACTAGCGTGAACTTTTTACGTTTTCCATAAAATACACGTGAAAGCCAAATATCCCTAACTTTTTGTAAGTAGTGTATATGGTGATAGCATCAGGGCTAAAGCTAACAGGCTAAGCTGAGGTTCTTCTTCCATGAAGCAGCTCTGTTGTCCTCCATCTATATTTTCAGTTACAGGCTGAGTCATTTCTACCTTCTCCTCTGTCAACGCCCTCTGTTTCATTTAAAAGAGCCAATTTCATGAGCACTCAAAGACTCTGCATTATAAATAACACTTCATGCTAAAAACTGTTAGTTAATTCTGAAGAAATACACATTAAAATAGAAACAAAAACCAAGGACTTAATCGTTATATTCTGACTGGACTGAGACTAACTGGTGAACCACAGTCTCCAAAATTTCCTGGTACGATTAATTTGAAATCTGAACGTTATGAAAAGTTGTGTATATGCTCACAATAGTTCAGTTTGAATTAGCAGCTAGGGATGGAAGAAAATATTGATACACTGAAATGTTGCAATATTTTCATTTCCTGATATTGTATGTATATATATATTTTTTTTTAATTAAGCCTTAAAGTAAGAGGAAATGTGAAATACAGTTCTCACTGTCGTACAGTGTTCTTCTGATTGGATATAAATAAAATGAATTTAATCAGATTTTATGACTGTAATGCATGGTGTTTTTTAAATTAGAATCTTTGGAGGAACAAATGGTGAAATATTGCCTCTCTTACATGATTGTAGTATATGGTGACACTTCATACCATGGCCCCTGTGACATGACATGTATTATACAAGGAGGTTATTTAGAAAACCAGAGTGCTCAGAAACCACATGACCGTGTGATCAGCTGGTGAAGCTAACCGCTAACGCAAAACGGTCAAGAGTCTGGATTTCCCATTACTGTACATGTTGACAACAGAGCAGAAAAAAAGGACTGACGATGTAGAAATCATAAACTATTAATAATAATAATATTAACCCAATTATTATTAATATTTTACAGTTTATATGTGACCCATCATATCGAAATGAGGATTAAGTCAAATTTGGTCAAAATGACCTAATTACATTTTCAGATTCTTGGCTTTAAAAGCTACATTTTGATGCCTGAATCATTCTGATATCATAAGTAAATCCATATATATGACTTAATTTGTCTTGCTGTTTACAATAATACATAAATATTTGGTCTGAATCCTAATTTTATGTTATTTTAATGAGGAATTTTTGGTGTCCTTATAAAGAGGAAACCTCAAACTATATTTGAATATTGAGATTTCCCAGCTAAAAATAAACAAAACTTTGCTAGCTCACAGGGAAAATCTCAAATTTTTAAGGCGTTTTTCCTCAAAATCAGGTTTTTTGTTGCTACTGCCCAAAAAAGTGCTTCAAAATTTTGTTTTGATTATATTTCAGACAGTTCATTCAAATGATACATTGATAAGGCATTTATTCATTATATTTTGGCAAAATGCAATTTTTGTTAACATTTTAGTCAAAACACTATATTTGCCTTTTTCTCCATAAACCACGTTTAGACTTAATCCTCGTATTGATGTGATGGGTCACATATAATCTATCTAATGTTTTAAATAATGCCAGAAAATCTGTTTGTTTTATAGATTTATTAACAGAAGATAAACAGGAAGACGTCTCATTTCACAACACAAGTCAGCAGATTTGATCTTATTTAGCTCAATGTGATCTGAGCAGAAAATAATGTAACAGTTTAAAATTAAAATAAWMTTATAAAGTTAATGTAATCACTGTTATGTATTGAACTGGTTAGCAGATRTTAGCTTGTGGARCATATAWACAGAGTTTAGCWCTGTTAAATCATGCTACAATTTAACACAAACTATTAAATATTACTTTATCCTCTGATTAATATTTAGACCTACACAGTGTAAACTATTATTATAAATGTAAGTATTTTTAGGTTTCTGTTAGAGCAGTGGTTCCCAAATTGGGGTCTGGACCCAAAGTGGGGTCCTGAAACATCAAGGTGGGGTCCTGAAAAGATTTTCTAAATTAATTACATTTTTGCCTTAGTTGCATAAAATGTATAAATGTAGAATAATAAATATTGTTACTATGCCCATGTTTAGTTGACCTGATACAAATGTTTATCATTCAAAAATAGTTGTGGGCACAGGTCTGTGCTACTGTTATTTTGTGGGTCAAAAGCTGAAAGGTTTGGAAACCACTGCACTTCAGAAATCAGTTTAAAGGGTAATAAAATAATTAGTGATGTAATATTTTCCCTATAATTATTACAAAAACACAAATAAGTATAAATAAGTATTTATATTTGTGTAGCCTTTGTTTTTAGGGTTATTAACAAATTTTATGTACTCAGACCAGTAATATTTGGGGGTCACAAGTTTTTGCCATGAAAATTTTGTGGGTCAGAAGATAAAAAGTTTGGGAAGCACTGTGTTAGAGGAACCTGTTGGTTAGCTAATAGAGACAAGTTTCATCCTATAACAGGTATACAGGGAACATTTTCAAAGTGACTGGTAAATATTTGTTATTTATTTTTTATGACACTAAGAAGACATAATAAATATACTTTATTACTAGCTGAAGTCATTTTTCAACTAGCTAAAGTCTAAGTTGCAGGATGACCTCAAGTCTGGATTAGATCATTGTTATTTATAAATTATATATATTTTTCTGGTATATATCTGCTGTTTAACATGACTGTTGAATGAAATTAACAGTTATTAATTTACATGATTGTTGAATGAAATTAACAGTTATTAATTTATTGTAAAAATATTACAGAGATATGTGAAACAGATCCAGTTCAGCTTGCTTTTCTATTAGTTTCTATGAAGGCTGTGAGCCGTTGCCGTTTGGTCTCTGTTTCTGCTCCTTCATGCTGTCACAGACGCTAACAGTGGACGGGATGGGCAGGGCTCAGTCTAGTGTTCTTATTCAACTCTATGGTATTATATCAGTAAATTCTTGCCAATACACAGCCCTATCACCAGCTAGTCTCTGACTGTCCAGTGAGACCTTCATTCCGCTCTATAATTGAATGACAAATTTAGCTCTGCAGGTAATGTATTCATGCAGAACAAGTGTGTAGATGGTTTTCATTCAACCCTCAATAAATCAATCAGAAACTGAGATTCTTAAGACAAAATAGTGCCAGTTTTTAATCGTTTCACATGACGGGTGTGAAATACATTAGTTAATATTAAACACTTGCACTTTTGCTTGACCAAGTTGGTTTAGTTTGTCACCATTTTCTTAACTGAACAACGTCTGTGTTACTCTACCTGGCTGGACGTGTGCAGGGACTGGACTGTTTATGTTGATTGTGCTGAATGTATCAGTCCTTCAGGAGTTGAGTCAACTTTTGGGTCCCGGCCTCTCAGACCATCAGAATATAACGTTTAAACTCTTTCTTAACGAGCCAAAACTCATATCCTCAAATCTGTTGTTTCCCCAATATTTGTCTTAGAAAAATTAACACAGAAATATGCTTTTTCAGAAGCCTTACATCAAAATATTCATATGATCTTAACTTTTCTTAAATTTATCAGATCAAAGAGAAATGAATATATTTTCCCCCGCAGGCATCAATATAACAAAAAAACAAAAAAAAGCTGCAAATGTTTCACCTGAAATGCCAAAATACGATATGAATGAAATAAATTATCTGTAATCTGCTGTAATCCAACTTGGTTCAAGTCAACCTGAACAATTACAAGTTTTAAAAACACAGATTAAATGCAGCAGAACAAAACAGAGTTCATCTCATACCTTTGAAGTCCACCTCTCCGTTCCCATCCGTGTCAAAAATGTCGATGACTCGCTGCACCAACGGGTTCTGTTGCAGCTCGGGCAGAGACATGAACTCTTCCACGCTGAGCGAGCCCGAGTTATCTAGGTCGAGTTTCTTAAACCTCTTCCCTAGCCTCTTAATCTCATCAGCATCGACTGGACAAAGAAGAAAAAGAGACAGAAGATCTGAATGAGACTTTCAGTTAAAAATAACAGGTGTGAAAATAAAAATGTCAGGTGTTAAGGCTCTGCTGGTAGTAGCTGACCTGTAAGATTGTTAACACTAACAACCCCGTGAGGCTCTGTACTCATGTCTAAGTCTTTAGTGTTAGAGAGCCACTGCTGGTAAAGGGTGAACTAACAACCTGTTAGCAACATTATGCAAACAGGATTTTAACAAAAGTTCTGCAAGTATAAATACACCTGTAGTTTTAAATGACTGCAAACATGAAAGGTAACCAAACCCCTGATAATATTGCTAGAAATTCAAATTAAAGCATAAGAACAAAGTGTTATTAACTTGAAGAGGAAATAGGAGTTATTGTGAGAGCAGCTGAACTTACAGCCTTTGTCTTCTACTGGTGCCTCTTTAACAGATGGTGTTTGTTCGTTTTGTTCTCCTGCCATCAGTAAAGCCTCACCTCTCCTCTCAGTCCAACGTCCTCACAATAGCAAGGAGTAATCCAAAAGCCATAATAAAGCCAGTTGTTAATTGCTATATAAGCTCATTCACACAGTGTCACATGATTACACTGACCAACCACAAACTATTACTTTAGGAGCCCAGATTAAAGGATGTAAACAACACAGGCTATTAATCTTCAAATAATATTAAAAGGCCGGCATGACAAATTTATGAGGTTTCAAATTCAGTTTATTCTTGTTCTGATTGGATTTACTGACCTCCACAAGAACATCAAGGTTCTGATAAGACGGACAACCACCAATAACAGCAGTGATGAGACATGTTATAACAGATAAATGGTGAGAATTAAAAATGAATCGGCTTCAACCTTTTGACGTTGCATGTTAGGATTTTTCGAAGCTGATCGCACTGAGCTAGAACAGGTGACAGATTCAATACAATCACTATGATTACACATGGAGGTGATGGTTTGGTTTCATTATTAGCAAAATAAATACCTAAAATCAGTGGTGTCACCAGGCCTATTTTAGGGGGGCTGAAGCCCCAATAAATAATTTTGGTGTTTAAAAAAAACCTTATTTTTTTTAAATTCAATATACTGTGGCCAGAATATGAGTTTAAATAACCATATATTATTTATTTATTAACTCAAATATATGATCATAGATCTGTTAAGTTTCCTTTTATTTTGTAGTGTAAGGTAGAGATCCTCTTTGGTGCATTATCCAATCCATTCCACTTGTTCATACACCACACCCCATGAAATTCAGTCCACGTTTTTCTTGCAACCTTGATAGCAGCGTGTAACGAGCCAGCTAAGGAGCAGCATGAAGGTTCAATAGCCTATATGCCATGGCCATTAATGACGTATTTCCGTTAAAATTCCAGCCACACACCTCCCTTCCACTTCCTACCTACTTGCCTGTTGTTTTTGGCGTTAGCTGCTAGTACTAGTCTGTGAAAGTCACAAAAGTTAAAGCTGTGAGCTTCTGGTATAAAATGGGAGTTCTGTTGTGTGCCGTTTTGTCCACTAACCAGCAGTTTTTCTCCCTTTTCCTCTTGATGAGGAGTTAAGGTGACAGCAATGGATCATAGCAATACAGGGAAAACTTAGCTATAAAAGCTCACGCTCGTAATCGGTATTTCTAACCTGAGGATATTCAAGAACGAGCATCAGAAACGAGAAGACGGAGGTTACAAAAGGGAAATGTACAATTATCCCCCTTCACTGCCAAGACCCGAGAGAGCAAAGACCACCTCCAGATGACAGCTAGGAGGAAGCTAACAGCAGCCAGTACAAAGGTAGGTGTGTGCGCGCGCGTTTGTGTTATACAGAGTATGAAATTATTCTAGGCAACTTTTTCATGAGTTTTATGCAAAAGTAAAAACTTGTTAGAGTGTATATTACAGTCGAGACAAAAACGAGTGCCCCCGAGTACCAAGAGCAACAGAACCTCCGCCTGAAAATCATTACGTTTTCAGTTCACCAACATCGGGGAACACGATACAAACCATACAAGTAGTAGGGGTGTAAGAAAATATCGATACACTGAAATATCGCGATATTTCATTTCCCGATACTGTATCGATATTCTAAAGCCCTGTATGGATTTTTTATTAAGGTTTAAAATGTCAACTTTCCTGCCAGCCATTCATTTTTATGTTGTAGTTCAGCCTCTGACCACTAGTTGGCAGCAGTGAGCCAGCCATTCGGCTCCTCTACCTCTTGAGCGCCAGAGAGTAAGAGAGCATTAGCATTGTGAGTAAACATTAGCTTCATGCTCCGATAGCTGAATCTGAGCGGAAAAGACTGACACCCTCTGCCTTCTAAGTTGAGTTAAGGTTACAAACTGTTACTTATTTGTCAGAATGTCTGTAGTTTAAGACAAATTAAGTGTCTTGTGCGCTCTTTTTTCTCAACTGTAGTCAGCTTTCACGTAATGTATAGCGCATGCGTCTATCACCGCGAGCAAGCTCGGCACCCTCACTGTCAGTTATTTAATTTACCTTCATAATCAGACTTAGATTTTTATTCAACTTTATCATCAGCTTTATTAACAGTAATATTTATGCTTCTGCTGCTGCTGAGCCATGAGGACCTTTGAAATAAAAAAACTTAAATCTTAAATAAAAGTTCCCGTGTGCAAATCCCTTCATCTGCTTCCTCCTCAGACGACCCTGACCCACAGACCCCTCCCCGACTAGAAACAGCAGGAAAGCAAAAGTCACGCTTTGGATACATGCGCATTTATAACGTCCACCTTGCCAGTGTGGATGTTATAAAACCAAGTTTAAAGTCCGTGTTTGGCGCACGCGCGTGCGTGTGTGTGTGTGTGTGTGCGCGCGCGCGGGGCGGGGGTGTCTGCCGCAGATAACGGAGCAGGCAGGAGTGGGAGAGGACGAGGAGAAGAGCAGTGAACTTATTTCTAATTTTATCTGACTTATTTAATTTTATTTTTACTGTTTTTATCGTCCTGCAGGCTCTGATGGAAAATTAATTTGAAGCCGAGTATTTTTTTTATAAAAATCGTTAGATTACTCTAAAGCAAAATGAGGGAAAATCTGTGTCAATTACAGACAATCTGTTCACGTGAGCAGCTGTCAGTCAGCACCTGTCAACCTCCAGACGCACGACGCAGCATGTCTGAACCAATCACTTTTGTTGGCATTGATCAGCTGACTGATTTAAATACATCTTAACATTCATGAGGTACTTTACATTGACTGTTTATGGTTGAATGTGGGCGTGTAGGGGTAGAACCTGAGGCGGGACCTCGTGCGCAAACTGACGTGCAGCTGTGATCTATAAAGGAAAGATGCGCAGAAATGTGCGTACGCACGGTTTTATAAATCTGAATTTTTTTTGGCGTAAGCCATTTTCACCTTTTGGCCGTACGTTCACTTTTAGTATGGTTTCCACGCAATCCTTTATAAATGAGACCCCTGGAGAATGTTAAGTGAAAAGTAAATATACCAAAGTTTCTCAAGAAACTAAGTATTAATCATCACTGCTGGTAGTAACCATAAACATATATAAAGAGTTGATTCCTCTTAGACAGACCGCTAATGCCGCTGTCGAGCCGAGGTGCCGCCATCTTTGAAAAGTCACTGGCCCCTCTCAGTGTAATGTTTATCAGGCATAATTAATTATTAGCCTGTTTAATCAATCATACTGTACCTCACTTTTGCTGGAAACCCTAAATAGACAGCTATCAAAGCTACAAATAGAATACATATGCTCAACTTATTTAAATGTTCTTAGTAGAGTTAACTGTAGTATAATATCCATGTGTGAGATGTATTTGCAAAACACACAACTCACACATTTCATATATATATTTATTTCATTTATTAGTGTTGTTGCAGAAGACTCTCAGCAATATGACAAATATATTATAAAGAAGAATGATGATGAAATAATTATTACACAAGCATAAATATATTTGTGTTGTACGGAAATATAACACTTCAACAAAATTATTTTGATGCGTATCTGTTGATAATGAACTAAAGCTGCAGAAATTATTAGTAAGATTGTTGGAAATTTATTCCAGTCTAACACTGTGTTGTCTGTATTTTGTGGTTAGGCTGAGACATCAGAGAGGGGGTGAAAGAAATACAGTCTGTGACACCAGTGGAAAGTTTACTGGAGAATGTTATAGCAGTAATAACTGTAATACTGTTTCTACAGATGCATTCTTGTGTCAGTTAATCTAAATCAGTGTTAGGGAATAACAGATTTTATATGATTTATAAAGTCTCAGTTAACCTTCATAGTGGAGTAAACACCAGCACCAAACATTATAACTAACTTTAGTTGGCTTTTAATCCAGTCCAGTAATATGTGATTCACAAAACACAAAAAATTTGTTCATCTTACTTGTGAAGTTATCCCTCAAGCCCTGGTGTCAAAAATACTGCAGAGTGCTGAGGTCTTTTCTCCTGTTTTGGTTTAGCCAAGTAGGACCAATGATGTATTTATTATGTATTCATTCAGGTATTCAGTCTGTATTTCATGTAACCCAGCAGCCAACTGAAGATGTACTCTTTATAAATGTCCATAGTAGTAATAATTTACTCCAGCACCAGGCTAACAGCAAAAAGTCCCATGTAACTAATGAGCAAAGTGCTCCCTGTTTGACAAATAAAAACCTGGTTTGCACACTCCAAAATAGAGAGTTACATTCCAAATAACTCTGCTACTTTGCTAACTAGTTCTAGGTGTTTATGACTATAAACACCTAGAACTAAGATGTGACTACATCTTTTCCTTCTGTCTTCGAGTGGACTTCCTTCTGGAGCACCGTGAAAAAGGAGCTGAGCTTATTCACATCTGAAAATCAGTGAATAATAATAATAATAGACTAAATATAATTATTTCACCATCCCTATTGACCTGTAGGAGTCAGGACAAAGGAGCACAGAGAGTGAGAGAGAAGAGACCTCTTCTGGTGAGTCTAAAGCAAGGATCACAAATGCTGAGGAGCAAAGACCAAATGAGTAGAGGCAC